CCCGCTGCCGCCAGTGGAGGGAGACGCCTCTTTCGACGGTCAGTTTAATGGAAGGTGCAGCATTTTCTCATCTATCGTGAACTGCTGGGACATTTCTTCTGTTTTAGATGGGTTGGTCATGGTCAGATCAGCTTCTGTCTTCACCTTCCCACTCCACATGGTATGATGTCTTGTCCTCCACACGTACCTGCAGCTGGATCTTTTATAGCATCCTGCAAAACTAGGGTCTTTTCTCTTCCCTCCTCTTCTACTAGATATTCTTCTAACATCTGTCTCGGACGGCCAGGGCCGACTCGAGTTACGCTCGTACGTCAGGGCGGGCTGGTGAATGGAGAGGCAGACACAACTTATTGGTTGCAAAAAACTTTACTCACGCCGCTTGCAATCACGACGCAGGTGGTCCGGTCGTCGGAACAACCACACGAGTTGCTCCAGCTGGCGGGGCCCAAGCCAGTTATTCCGTCCGCAATTCGAAGCCGGCGGGGAACGGGGTACGTTGGGGTTGCGCTCGGTGACGGGAAGAAAGATCGATAGGTGATCAGTCTATCGATCGGCAGCCGCAAGTCAGATAACTTCAGAGGCACTCTGCAGCGTGCTCAAAGCTCTTCGACTTGGGCGGAAGTCGCGCGGAATTTTAAACGGCCAGCGAGCCAATTACTAGCCGCCACGTGTGAATAATTTAGCACTGGCCAATAGCGGGGCACAAATTTGCATCTGAATAGCGGGAACTCTTTGCACCGTGCATTTCTGTGCTGCAAAGAAGAAATGCATCCTGCAAAGGAAACTGCAAATTGGTGGGAACTCTCCTGCACGCAGGCTCTTAATTGCAGCAGAACACTCTGCCGTGCAAAGGAGCTCTCATGTGGCCAGGAAATTCCATAGTGCCGAGGCACAAAAAATCACTGGGTTGTGACACCTCCTTCCCTGTTTCGCCCCCGGCTCCTGGCCCTGGGGTTCCCCTCGTGGGCTCGGAAGTCTCCCCGGTTTGCCTCTCCCTGTGACAAGCCTAAATGCTTATGTTGCTGTAACCACTTGGAAAGGAAACTGCATTAAGTTTAACTTAACTGCATTAAGTTGCTGACAACTATCCTAACAAATCTATGCAGGATTGAATTAATCAAAAAATTTGGGTTTCTGTACCTTGAGTTAAGGCTGCATGTTGTGGTCTGTATATACTCTGCAGATTGCTGTAGAGGGGAAATGTATACTGTAGTCACCAGTGTGTTACACTTATCAAGAACATTCATATTTTAAGGAGAGTGAGTGCTAATTTTAATCTGTGTTTTAGATCTTGAAAAATGGCAAAGAGGATGCATATTTCATTGGATTACAACTGAGTGTTGATCAACGAGCTAGGTAAGTAAACTACCCATATCAAAGTTAGTAGGGCTGTGCAAAGCTTCAGTACCCAATTCGATTTGGTGGCGATTCAGCCTGATTTGGTGGCTGAATCTCCAAGTCTGAATTGAATCAGGAGACCTTTTAATCTCTCCAAATCAAATTGGAACCCTCCAAATCAATTCAGAGACATTTGGAAAGATTCAGTGATTCGGACATAGACACAGCTTTAAATGTTTTTTCTACATATCTCCAGGTAGCAGGCAGCTCATGAATGCTGCGATGCTGGGGCAGATGGAAATCAAACAAATTGAATCACTGTCCTTGATTTGGGCCAAATCCGAAGCTGAATCGAATATGGCCTGTTTTGCACACCCCTAAAAGCTAGTAATATGTGCAGCAATGAACAAGACTTGTATTAAGCAAAGCAAGAACAATTTTGGGTGAAATGTCAGTCTCACCACAGTCAATGTGTGTGTTTTACTTCTGGCATGAGGTGGATAAAGATATAATTCCTAGCATTTATGTTTTTGGAGGTGGTAGAATGTGTTTGGTACTGGATGTTGGCAGAGGGTATTTGTAAACATATTTTTAGGGAAATTCCAGCATTTGTTTATTGGCATTGGTAGGCCACTGATCACTTACAGTGGTTTATTCTTGCAGCAGAGTATTGTACTCAGTTGAGTACCCTGAGTTTTATACTGAAAACCAGTGACTACCTCTATTTTACAAAGTAAAACAAATTAAGGAATTCATCTTAAAACAATGTATCCATTGGCAATGAGACAAATTCCATGTTGATAGAGGACAAACTCCCATTGAAAGAAATTATGGTGTTTTATATTTTTTCTATTGGGATCTGAATCAAACACTTAAAACCCTGTAAATCCATTTATTCTTTAGCAGTGCCAAAACTTTCATCTTGTTTTAAAAATATATATTTTTGAAATCCATCTGTTTTTATCAGTTGGAAAAGCTGTTCTTCAGCATTAGATTTGAGGTGTTGTCATGCACTGTAAAGAACATGTTGATTTGAGATTCCTCCATTTAAAATATTATACATAGGTATGAATAACAGTTTAATTTGGCTACATTTGAACTGGTCTGGTCCACTTGCATTTTAGAACTTTATCCCATTAACTCAGAAGCAGTTTATTTTTTTTCTAAATAACTTTTACCAAGAAGTAATCAAAAGAAATAGAGAAGATAAAATCCAGATTGGATTTTCACAAAATTATTTAATGTCACTTTCTCTCATTTCTTCATTCACATGTAAAATCATTTTTTAATGATTGCTTCAAATACCTCAACTCAAACATTTGTGTTAGTATATTTAAAGCTCTTCAGAGGTAAACATCACTTCTTTCTCCTTTCCTTCATTTTAAATACTCTTTCAAATAAATAAAACAAAACAAAACAAAAACAGTTGCAAACCAGCAACAACCTCAATTTTTATTTTTTTCCACAGCAGAGAGAGACTGTTCTAGCATTTAGGATGTCAATATATAGCAGTCTTTAAAGCTAGGGACAGACGTTCAAAAAGCCAGAGCCTGAATTGATTCAATCTTTGCAAGTTAGTCTAACCTGCCTAGGTTGAACTGATTTGCAAGTACACAGTCATTCCCTCTGGCCTGAGGAAATGCCAGGCACCTGCCTGCAGTTGCTCAGGCCAGGCACTGGGGGATGCTAGAGCATGCCCTCGGCTGCAGGGAAACTGGTGGCCAGCCAGGCAGTAGCCTGGACTGACCTGGCCAGGGAGGGGTTTAATTCCTCCCTCCCTGTTCCACCAGAATGGACCCGAGCCAGGGTTCACTGGGCGCTGCCCCCTTGCTGCCTCAGTGGTGGGGCTGGGAGTGGCCAGATGCAGGCTGGCATGGCCCCTGAGGCAGAGTGGGCAGGGAGGGAAGTTATTTCCCCTCCCATCGCAACTGCAACCACCACTTGCTCTGTGCTTAGGGCAAGTGATAGAAAAATCCCTCTCTGCTAGATGCCAGAAGGAGGGGATGCTGGAGGGAGCGGGGCAGGAGGGGGCCTGCCCCGTCTGCCTCAGGGGACTATGCCATCCGGCTTCTGGCTGCATCTGGGCCCCAAGCTGCAGCAGTTGGGGGGACCTGGTGGACCTGGCTTAGGTCTCTGCCAGTGGGACAGGGAGGGGGAAATTAACCCCCGCCCTGACCAGTTCAATCCAGGCTGCTACCAGGGCTGGCCATGTCCCCTGCTGCTGGAGCAGCCAACAGAGAAATGCAGGTTGGTGCTGGTGGGATAGGGGAGGGAAGGGAGGAATAAATTTCTTCCCTGCTCCCTTCCAGGGCCAGTGTCTGGCCAGACCTCCACCCCTGTCTGCTGCTACCTATCTCTCCTCTGGCTGGGAAGCAGAGGTGGGCCAGCCCTGCTCTGCTGGAGCAGAGAGCCCAGCCCAGAGAGCATGCCAGGATGCTGGGGAACTCTGGTTTAACTTATACCAGAAAGGGGTCAGGGACAAACATTACATAAATCGATTTGAGCTCACTACATTCAACCAGGTTTATCTCAGACTGGTTTCAGCCATTTTGAAACTGGTTTATATGCACTGAATTTATGTTGTGTTACAGGTTTAAATCAGTTTCTGATCACTTAAACCAGTTTGTGTAATGTCTGTCCTTAGCCCAAATGACTTGGGCTTCACTTACTGACCACAGTGGCTCAGTATGATACTATCTATTCTAATTAGTATTTGGTTAACTAAGTTTTAGCATTTGATTCTTTAAATTCAAATGGTATAACCACACTTACAACCTCTTTATGGTTCAGCCTTTGCCCTGTTGCCAAGCAAATTAACACCACTTTAACCGGTATGGAAACTACCTTTTGGTTGCTTACCAGGCCCTGCACAATTCTTTCCTTTGAATGGGGAATGGAGGAATGTCCCTTCTTTCTGCATCTGGACTAAACTTATATGGACTTGGGAAAATGAGATGTGCTTGGGTTCTCATGTGCCATTCTGACCCCTGGTTTCCACATTGGCTTTTTTATTCTCTTCCCTCATGTCTTGGGCCATAGCGGCTCCAGAATTAGAACATGTGAAAATGCCCTAATGTTTTGCAAATTAGGGGAAAACTTTGCTATAACCCAGGATCTGTACCTTTGTGAAGATGATAGTTGTAGTCCTTGTCAGGTAAGGCCATGTGACTCTTCAAAAAAGTTTGAAATTATAGGCATAATAATATGAAGTACCTTTCATGTTTGCAGGGGTCACCATGGAAAATACTTTTCTTACAAGCTGTAACCACCCTGTAATTTAAATAATGCTTACTTTTTTTTGCATATTTAAGTTAGAAAATAGTTCACAGCTTGGATTCTGTGATATTGTAATTGTTGTTGATTACTTTTTTAAACTTAATATTAGTGTATATATTCACATACTCTTGCTGTCCATATTTTTCATTTTCTAATTTTAAATAAATTATTAAAAAAATGGAGAAAGAAAATAAAAAACAATATAGAAGTGAGTGAGGCACCTTCAACTGTATACTGTCTGCTTTGCGTTGTTCAGGATTAGTCAGTCAAACCATAATTATGGCTAAATTTGGGCAAAACTTTTAGAATGATTTGATAAATCTTGCCTTAAGTTGTTAAACTATTGGTGTATGTACATCGACACATTCCTTTTTAGATGTTTTTCTGAACTTATATTCAGAATGAAAGGGGGTAATCAAGGGAAAACAAGTTATAACTACAAGATATTTACTCATTTAAGCCTTTAGCTAGGTAACATTTTAATTTTCTTGGAATTTATACAAGGTAAATGGTATAGATTAGGCTGTGACAACACAGCTTAAAAAGTTTTAAAAATAAATTTTGTAATATGAAAATAATTGAATTTGTGCATAATAATTTTTCTTTTTTGGTTGTGTTAAGCTGGATGGATGGAACCCCAGTGACTTTTTTAGCTTGGGCACCACATGAGCCCAACTTTGCAAACAATGATGAAAACTGCGTAGTTATGTATAAAAACTTAGGTAAGTAATTTGTTTATTGCTAATTCTTTTGCAGAGGACATTACTTTTTCTGCAGTACGTTTTTTGCTGCTTTTTTCTTCAGAGAACTATTACTGAAGATGGAAGTAAAATTAGATTTTGGAGCAGTGACTGCTTTCATATATGGTTATTAGGGGTGTGTGAAGCAGGTCCTATTTGATTTGGATTCAGATTTGGCCTGAATCAGGGACAGTGATTCAATTTGTTGATTCAGATCACTATCCCCAATTCGATTCGGCCAAATCCGAATCTGAAGATTCGATGCTGATTCAGAGAATCAGCGTTTCGGACAGACAGCTTTAAAAGTTTTTTCTACATACCTTGAGGTAGCACTGTTGGCTACAAATGTCCAACTCGGGATCCTTAAAATTCTAGTTTATTAGGCGGATTGAAACACTGTAATCATAAACCTTGGGGCTGGTCCCCACGCACACGCACACACGCACACGCACAGTAGCAGGCTACAGAGTCAGGTATACCTATCCTACAAGTGCTGGAGTCTGTCGTTGAGGCTTCTTTCAGCGTGGTGTTATCTTCCAGAAGGGGGTCGCCGGCTGGTCCTTCTGGCTGGACAGGTCTGGTCGAGTTGGAGATCAAGAGGGCGCCCCTGAGGGTCACTTTTCACTGCCTTTTATCTGTCCCTGGCAGACTTTGGTGACTCCCCAGTTTTCAGGTTTGCCCAATCCAGGGGTCATTGACTCTCGTGGGACTTCCCCCCCCTCGGTGGCTACTGGA